GCTTCCTCTGGCTCGCTCACTAAGGCAGACACCTGAGCGACTGCCTCCCTGAGCCTCCTGCACCACCCTCACCCCCCACCTTGCCTCCTGCTCCACTTGAGCCCTTCCAATAGTCAACTGAGTCACAGTGTGAGCCCAGCAAGAGCAGATTTACCAACTGGCCCCAGTGCAAACTGCTGACCCATGGAGTCACAGCACCAAAGTAAAGGGTACTGTTTCATCACTAAATCTTGGGTGACCTGTTATGCGGTAGTAAAGTGACTGATGCATTGCTTGGGACATTGCTGTCCTCAGGAAGCAGCATTTTCCTTCCACCACTGAAACTGGGAATGTGTGCTCGCCCCAGCCCTTGTTTCTAGGGCACAGACGGATACAGAGCCACCACAGGGAGCTGTGCAGGTTGCAGCTGTCTGGATTTGTGCAGTGCACACCTGCACAGACACTAATGTGCCCCAACTCCAGACACCCCAGGCCTGAGGTAAGCTATGGTGTGTCCTACACAGTCCACCAGCTTCCTTGGTAACAGCAGCAGCAGCCTCGCAACAGCACTGCAGCCTAGCAACAGCACTGCAGCCTAGCAACAGCACTGCAGCCTAGCAACAGCACTGCAGCTGCAGCAGCCAGGGACGGTGCCGGCCCACCCGCAGCATGATTCATGGGTTTCGCTCCCTCCACGGAGCACCAAGACAGTCCTCCCATCTTTCCTGTCAATTCCCAAAAAGCTTTCAACAAATTCCCTTTCTGGGTAAACGTGCCAGACCCAGGTTTTCCTGCATACAGCTGAGCAGGCCTGCCTCCTGGGCCGAGTGGTGCTCTTCCCCACCCAGTACCCTCCCGTGGCGAGGACACAGGAAGGAGGCACACAGGCTGCAAACCAGAGATGTCAGTGGCTGCCTGGGGGCCGGGGTGGCTCTGTGCAGGCACCCTGCTGGCCCAGTGGGAGGAGGGTGGACACAGACGCTGCAGCTGACTCACGGATGCCCCATGCCGCACGCAGGAGCTCTTTGTGTGTGCACACATGTGAACTGTGTGTCTGCATGCGCATGCGTGTTTGTGTGTGTCCACATGGAGGAGTGAGGAGATTGCTCAGAGATGGAGGCAGAGATGTAGAAGAGCCAGCAGGGGGGTGGGGAGGGGGACGCCTGGATCCTGTGAGGTGGCTGTGTAGAGTGCTCTGGCCACACTCCCTGGGATTTCCCGCCCTACTTAACAGTGCCGGTGTGAGCCAGTTCCCACAGGGGCAGCAGCCAGCTAGATGGGACAAGCAGAAGATGGTCAGGAAGACACCGCCTTCTGCCCTTGACCCCAAAGAGAAGCCCCCGGTAGGGGAATGGGACTATGCCCTGCGGGTCCCTGGTGCCCACATCCCCAGTGCAGAAGCCCATCCAGACTGCAGCACAAGGAGGTGGAACAAGGGCGTCCGTCACCAGTAAGCTCCACCCTCGGGGAGTCAGGGGGCTCTGGGCCAGTCTTCCCAGCAGCCACCAGTCTGGATACACCTGCCTTTCTTGGCCACCTGCCTAGGCTGTGGCCACCCTGTCCCCCAACTTCTTCAGCTACACTTCACAGGAAGCTCCGGATCTAATCCACGAGCCTTTGGTCACACCTCAGTGACTCCTGGCTCTCTCCTCGGCCCAGCAGTTGTCCCCACTCTGCAGATGCCATCTCCCAGGCTGCACAAGAGGTCCCGCCTGACCCTTGCAGGGATTCACTTAGGGCAAAGTATCTGACTCGGAGCCCAGCTGTGGCCTAAAAATTGTGATCACGTACACACAATCTTGTGCATCTTGACCAAGTCCAAATACAGACTCAAACCCAGAAGTCCTGGCTGTGACCCCGGCCCCAGGCCCCACACGGAGCTCTCTTCCCACAGGCCCAGTATGCATGCGTCCAGGCACGGCTCTGGTCACGGTGAGCACATTGTGGGCCCCAGCAGGGCCTAGAGCCGGCTGTGCTGCTTCTGCCCTTCCTCTCTCCCCGAAGCCTGTCCAGGGCCCAGAGCACTCGGCCCCGGCAGGGAGCCCTCCAGCCTCCTGGGCACACTCCTGAGAGGCAGAGGAGAGGGAGAGGCCCAGGGAGGGTGCTTGGCTGTCTGAGAGTGCACACGCGGGTGGGAAACGTCTACAGTCAGGACACCTGTGGGAGACGTCCTGGGCCAGGCTGAGCAGCCACCGCTGGGGGCCACGTGGGTCTATCCACAGCCCAGCTTCTCGCTGGGCTCAGCTCGTCCCTGCTGCTTAGCACACAGTGTGCCGGGGTGCAGGGCCGCTGCTCGCACTGTCCCCTGTGCAAAGCCATGGTCCAGGACGCAGGCCCAGCAGCCTCTGTAAGAGTAGAGACAGAAACAGCTCCAGTGCCCATGGAGAGAGAAGCACTGCCTGGAGCCATGCCAGGGAGGTCAGCGCTGCAGGTGGGAAAAGCAGGCCAGGTCCCTGCGGCCTCATGTGAAAGGCAAGATGTGGCTGAGGAAAAGGAAGGAGAGACACGCTCAGTGCTAGTGAGCACAGATGTTTAGCAGGTGTGGCGAGCAGGCCTGTGACCCCAGCTGCTCGGGAAGCTAAAGCAGGAGATCCCGAGTCCCTGCCAGCCTCACAGGGCAACTTAGTAAGACCCTGCCTGAAAACTAAAAAACACAAAAAGGCTAAAGATGTAGTTTAGTGGCAGAGAGCCCCTGGGTTCAGTCCCCAGTACTACAGAGAGAGAGAAGAAAGAAAATCACCTATTTTGTGTGTATACATAGGTACTTAAAAAACAAAGCCTAGGGAGATGGACCCCCACTTGGAGCAGCAGACGGGGAACTGGGTACTGCACGAGTATGTCCTGTGGGGTGTGTTACGATCACACACGCACACTCATTCCCAGGGTGGTGGCCCAGGTAACACAGGCCTGTCTGGTCCCTTCTCAAGACGGTGCTAAGGACACTATGTGCTAGTGGGTGGGGCTCAGTCTGTGCCGACTGGGGTGGGGATCACCGGAGCCTGCACACCTTCCTCTGTCCCCATCATCACCCCTCCGAATTCACAAAGCTCACTCCAGATGGTGCCGTGCCCTGCTGCAAGCTGCGGTCTGCCTGAGTCAGAACACGTGGCCACGTGAGAACCACTGTGTGCAGATACACCGAGCACCAGACGTGCCGGCCGGTGGTGCCGGAAGGCGGTGAGCATCAGCACAAGGGCAGGCCGCTCCCATTCAGGGTCTGGACGGAGAAGAGAGACCTGGCTGCCCTGATGTCCCTCTCCAACAAACGAGGCAAGGGCTCCGCAAATGATCCCATTCACTTGATCCCCCTTTCTGCTCCAAAAGACAGAGAGCCCCTCTTCCAACCCAAGCAGGTACCTCGCAGACCCCTGATACTGGAATGCACTTGTTCTCCAAGGCTTCCACAGAGTGTAAATAAACTCAAGACCGGGGAAGGGTCTGAGATTCACCCCACTCAGAGGCCAGCATGTCTCCTGACCCTGTCATGGATGCTGGCAGGAGCCGGGAGACGGCTGAGTCTCCATCGCTCACAGCAAGACCAGTGGCCAGAACACCAGCAGCCCTACACCAGCGTCCTGACCCCAGGTCCTGCAGGGCTCATAAAGAGGAACACACCACACCTGCACTGCAGAGGGCCATCGCAGGGGACCCTTGAGCCTGGGGAACCCAAACCCTTATCGCAGGCCGTCAGAATGCTGGCTCTCTTCGCAGAGGCCGCTGTGGTCTGCAGGGTGCTGGACAGTGGGCCTGAGTGAGATCCACTCTCTCTCCTGCAAGGCTGTAAGCAAGCCTGCCAGACCTTTTCACCAGGGGGGATGGGGGGGGAGAGGCATTGTCATCTCCCAAGGCAATTCCGTGCGACACCCTTGGAAAGACAATCCAGAACAACGGTGGTCAGGGCCTCCCTCCAGAGAGACACAGAAACCTGAGCCGAGCTGGGGAGGTGCCACCATCACCCGCTCTGGGTCTGAAATACAAGAGAACCATGGGTCACTGCAACCAGCTCCCCAGGGTCACGCCCTGGCATGGGCCCCTGTGTGGGGGCCAGACCTGGCGATTCTCCCAACAAACAGAACTCAGTGGAGACGAGGGTGTCCCTCTCAGGCCAGGCCACAGAGGCCAGTGTTCTCTCTGCAGCCCGTCTCCTTGCTGCCCTGATGAAGCTGGTCATGTGCAGCAGCCTCTCGAGGAATGAGGATGCCTCCACCCAGCAGCCCCCCAGTCCTATGACTCCCCCGGTCCTTGGTGTGAGTGACGAGGACTCGGTGGGCTCTGCCAGAACCACATGGGCTTACTTCTAACAGGTGGGAGACCCTGAAGCAGAGGCCCCAGCAAGGCCCTGCACAACTCCCTGGTCCAGGCACACCCAAGGATTAAATGTTTCTGCCTTGGGCCACCAAGATTGGGGACAGCTTGTTACACAGCGACACATAACTGATACAGTATTAAAGGTAAGAGGACAAGATGACACCACAGGGCCATGGCAGAGCTTCAGAATTTATTCTTATCTTCCTGAAATCTGGGTTGGAAGCAAAGCAAGTGGCTTCTACTTGGATAACAAGTGCCAAGGGACCTACATTTTAGTCTAACTATGGAAACCCGGGCCCTGGATGAGGCCTCCCTTCCACACAGGAACGAAGAGGCCTAGGTCATTCCAGACCCACCGCCCTCGTCGGCACCTACTACTGTGATGGTGAAGGGCGGCCTTCACTATTGGACCAAGGCCAGAGCCTTCCGAGCGCCCTCCACAGTGAAGTGTGGGCTGCGGCACAGCAGGGAGCTCCCAGGACACGGCCCTCCTGTTCAGCTCACTGCGCTCTCTGAGGTTCAGATGCCCCACAGCCAGGAGCCCCTGCACTCCCGGGGTGGGGGGGAGCATGCTGTCCCCAGAGACCCTCCCACACCGGGGACCGCTGGTGGGGGGCACCATCCATGGGAGCCGCCGGCCGAGCGGGCAGCAGGGCCGGGCAGGCCTGGCGGCGCTCACACGTTCTCCTTGTCGAACTCGCACATGAAGTACATGGTGGTGTGGCAGGCCACGTCGTTCCAGCCCCCCGAGGCCACCATCTCCACGCAGTCCTCCTCGTCGTAGGCGTTGTTGGGCTCGCCGCTGCGCCACTTGTTGAAGGTCTGCATGGGGGACCGGTCCGAGTACACGAAGGCCCCCTCTCTCTCCAGGTCGTTGATGCCGATGAAGACGCGGGCCAGGCCCGCCTGGGCCAGGTAGGCGGCCATGAGGCCGTTGGCGGCCTCATCCTTGGGCATGCTCAGCGTGCCGCCCCGGCCCTGGCAGGACAGCTGGGCGTCGGCGTACCGCTTCTCCTCCTTCACCAGCAGGTAGATCTTGCTGTCCGTCTCCCGCACACCAGCGACAGCTGCAGGGGAGGGCAGGGCTGGAAAGTGAGCATTCCCATCAACAGGCCTCAGGCTCACGGGGACCCCAGACCACACCTGGAGCCGCAGGTGGCCGGGGCTCTGCCCCCGGGGCTGGGGGAAGGGAAGCCAGGGCCCAACATACCATTTTTTATGAATTTTAACTCCGTGGTCAGCTGCGCGACCTGGTTGTCCATCTCTCCAATGGCCTTTCTCAGCTGGCTGCACTCACAGGGGATACCTGCAGGAATCAAGCCACTGAGCAGGCGCTGGGTTCAGAAGAGGAGCACACCCCACCCCCAATATAATCGTTCCTCGGCAGACACCAGGCAGGCCTTCGGGGCCATGAGGATGACGTCCTAAAGGCAAGACCAGGTTTGCAAGTGTCGCCTGGCAGCAGGGCAGGAGGGGGTGGGGCATGGCCTCCCCAGGGAGGCTGAGGGTGGCCGTGCAGACACCAGGGCCTGGGGGAAGGAGGAAGGGAGCTGGCAGAGCCCAGGACTGCCACACGGCGCCTGGAAGGAGGGCAGCCAGCAGCACGGTCTACTCCAGAGCTCTGCGGAAGGTGGCTCCTGGGTGGAGCCCATGCATCTGGGCAGTCCCTTCTGCGTTGCTGGCTCAGCTCGGGAGGGCCCTGGAGAAAGCCAGGGCTGCCACAGGCACACCTGCAGGTAGCAGGTGGGGTGGGGGCGGGGAGGGGCCTGGGCAGGGTGCTGCTAAAGGACTCAGAGTGTCCCTCCCAGGAACAACTCGGAGGGACCCAGGCATCTCCACAGGATGGTGAGACAGATGGGAGGGGACACAGAAGCCCCAGGTGAGGCATCCAGAGGCCTGGATGGGGAGCAGCTAGGGACCAGGAGCAGGAGGCTGGCGGGAGGCCTTCAGGACCCTCCTGCTGCACAGAGAAAGCCAAGGTGTAAATGGTGAGGGGGGCTTCACAGAGAGGAAGAGCCAGCCGCCATGAGGCAGGACAGATGGAAAAGCACCCACGGTGAAGCAGCAGCAGTAAGCGTCAGCCCTCCTCAGCCTTCCAGGTGGTGGGGAGCCCTGGCCGCCCGCAGCCCGAGCTGCATCCTGCTGTCCTCTCCACCTCAAGGTGAGCTGAGAGGGAGGCCTCGCACAGGGGCCTGCGGGATGTAGCCCAGGCAGGGAGAGGGGCTGCGGCAGAGCCACGTGGCTCTGGGGGCACAGAGAATGGGCAGGAAGCTCCAGCAGGAGTCCACAGGGCTGAATGACGTGCCCCTGAGCCTGCCCAGACATCCCTGGTGGCCCCCAGGTGAGGAACTGGGGACCGCTGCTGGGATGCCTGGGGCATCAGGGTGTGCACCTCTGAGGGGGAGATCCTGGAGCACCCCAGAGATGAAGACCCAGGAGCACAAGCTGTGGGGCGGGCAGGCCTGAGCCTCGCCATGGGACGGCAGAGGGACGGCAGGCCCAGGAAGGGCACCGAGACATCAGGTGAGAGACTGGGGAGAGACCACATCCCAGTGTCATGGAGGCCCTGCCTTCCTGCCCCCGCAGTGTCACTCACGCCTCACAGTGTTAAAGTACAATTTTAATACATTTTATTAAAAATCCTTGGGCTGCTCTGGACTGGGCAAAGGGGAGGCGGGAGAGGTCAGGAGGGTAGGAAAGATGGTGGAACGAGGTGGACGTCATCCCCCTAGGTACATGTATAATTGCACAAGTGGTGCATCTTTACACCACGTACAACCCGAGAATTGAAATGTTGCGCTCCACGTGTGTACAATGAATTGGAATGCATTCTGCTGTCGGGTACAACTCAGTAGAACAGATAGAAGTAATAAAAAAGAAAATCCTCGGGCCGCTATGCCCTACCTGGCTCTCCGTTAGGGCCAGGGGGTCCCATATCACCAGAATCTCCTTTTTGACCTGGAAAAGAATAGCAGAGTCCAGGTCACCGCTCAGAGCTGATGTGTTCCCTGAGTAAAAAGCGTCCCGGTTGAACCTCTTCCTTCGGGTTTCAAGCCTGAGAGTTCCCAGACCCTCCTTTGCAGGGAAGACAGGGAGTGCTCTCTGCATGAACAGGGCCCTGTGTCTGTCCTGGGACACGAGGAGGCACAGGTGCTTGCTGTTGACTCACTCTGGAAGCCAGGGTATTCCCCAGATAACTCTGCAGGCAGCACCCACAGATCCTCAGCTCCAAGGTGAAGGCGGCTGGCTCGGACGCCAGCTCCTTCCTGACCCGCCCCGCAGCACGGAGATCCAGACACATGCAGGATGGTGGAGCTGGGGTTGGGCTTAGCAACGGCCAGGTCCAGGAAGGGAGGACACACTTATAACCTCACGCTGGAACCCAGGTCCCTCTGCCCTCTCAGGCAGCCAGGAGCGCTGGCCCAACCTCCTGTTAGGTGGGACAACCTGCGTCCTGCTCTGGCTGACTCATCCCGCAGCCTCACAAAGCCTGAGAAACCAAAGCGGGGCGGAGTGGACCGGCATCCTGACGTGCCCGGCATGACTTCAGCGATGAAAACCTTGTGCATCACGCTTGTTGAGAGGAGTGGCTGAAAACACAAACCTGGCCCCGCACAGCTCCGACCCTGCACCCGGGAAGGTGAACCCCTAAGTCCTGCCGCCCGTGCACACTGCCCTCCCCCTCCACCATGGTGGAGCAGCCGCTGGCTCCACCTCTGAAAGTATGCACTGGGGCAGAATTTACAGGCATGATACACAGAAACCAGTAAGACCACCAGGCAAGAAGGTCCATCTACAATTGTCCTCAGATGCTCCGAGCCTGGGAGGGAGTGGGAGGCAAGAACTGCATTAGAATACCTTTAGCACCAATGGGACCGATTTTTCCATGGCGACCCACACTGCCTTTCTGTCCTTTGTCCCCCATGTCTCCTGTAGAAAACAATAAGATGCACAGGTGATCCAACATGCCTCCTGCTTGCCATCTCCCACTCGCACATGCACACACAGACCGAGACTGAAAAACTGCACAGCCCTTAACCTTTCCAAGGTCACACAGGTCCTCTGTGACAGTGAAGGCAAGGAGGCATGGTCTGACCTCCACCCCGCACCATGGTGCTTCTCAGCTCTCACTCCCGTCCCCAGCTGAACCAGAACCACAAGACTCCAAGAACACAGAGGGGTGCTCTTGGGAACATGGTCACGGTGCCAGGTGGCACAGCCTGGGCTCCACCCGGCTGCATGTGAAGGAGACTCAGGAGGGGTAGGGAGCAGGAAGGAGGGCCTGGGTTGCCCCTGCACGCCTCACCATTGGGCCAGCTCCACACCAAAGTGCCTGTTCCGCACTCCCTGCCGGCCCCTGCTAACAGTCACCAGCCCCTCTGCCTCTTCTCCTGTCTCCTGCAGGAGGGACAGGGCCTGGCCTCACCCCACTATGACCCTGCAGGACTTCCCTCTGGTCACTACACCAAGACTGAGAATGGCCGTCTTTGCATGGCCCCAGAACAAACTCAGAGGACAGTTGCTGAATGCCAGGCTCCTCCCCTCCAGAGGCCACCTGCTCCTGCCTTTCCACAGGTGGTCACTGATGGCCAGGCAGACTGACAGCAGGCTCGGGGACTGCAGCAGGAAGCTCAGTTTCATGCCCTCATCCCCAATGTGTCCTGTGTGCCCAAGGATTCGGGATCACTCCCAACCCACGCTGTCACAGAAACAGGGAAGCTCGGGAAAAGCAGGTCCCAAGAGAAGCAGGAGGACCTGCACCCAGTCCAGCGAGCTCTGTGCAGAGATGGACTCCTGGCAGGAACTCCTGCGCTGTGGCGCATGTGGGCAGCTTCCAGAGCACAGAGCACGGCTCGGGTGAGCCACACTGAGTCCAGTGCTGCCCAGGGAAGGGCCAGGAGCAATGCGTTGCTCAGAGCACGTGGGCTCACATGAGTTCTCCTGTGGTCGTACAAGGTCCCTGCATAGCAGTGGGCGGGGCCGTGCCTACTTCAGGGTGGAACCAGGACAGGAACGGAGACCTGCTGATCTGAAACTCAGGGCTGCTTTCCTGCAGGAAGGGCCTGTGGATCAGTCAGAGGAATCAGGACTAGAAGGTGGGAACCCCAGCAGTCACTGGGGCCATGTGCAGCTGGGGTACCAGGGAGGGCGGGGCCTGACCAGCCCAGCATGACACTGGTGCCGCAGGTGTGTGTGCCCACACAGCACATGGAGTCTGCTGGGAAATTGGGGAACTATCGGGCAATTGCAACCCAGGAAATTAACCATTTAGAAGCTGAAGTCTCTGAGGAGCACGAGCAAAGGGACAAGGGAAGCATCTGTCCCCAAGGTGCAGTGAACCACTGAACCACCAGGGAGTTGGGAAGAAGAGGGCGAGGTCCCACCCAGGACACAGCTGGCCACTAAGTGAAGAGGTGGGAAGGGGCAGGGACGGAGCTGGCTGGGGAGGATGGGGGCAGTGCAGGCGGACAGGCAGTGTCTAGGAGGTGGCAGGTAGTGGCCGGGTGGCAGAGGTATGTGGGAGGTGGAGTGGCAGGCCCTTGCAGGTGACCACGTGGGAGGGGTGAGGTGAAGACCTACGGCCTGGGCTGCCAGGCAGGTGATGCTGAGCATCCCTGAGGCTGGGTCGCAGAGGAAGAGGATGCTGGGTAAGAGGGGGACGCTGGGTGTGTGCGGTGGGGGCCAGGCAGGGATGGAGAACTGAGGGTCATCAGTGTGTTGATAGCAACTAGAAATAGGCCCCGGTGATGTCACTCAGGGAAGGAGGGAACCGGAGGGACATGGGAGACAGGAACAGCCTGCGGCCATGACCTGGGGGTGATCAGAAGGAAAATCGGGGAGACGAGGGCAGGGCAGGATGGTGGCAACTACACAGCATTAAAGGGGAGTCCCTGGGTGGCCAGGGAGGAGCAGGTGGAGCCGAGGAAGCGGAGGCCCCAGGGCAGGGCAGCCCCCCAACATCCACCCGGAGGTGCACCCCCACCAGCTGTCCCCAGTGTCAGCCGCTGGGCGGCCTTGCCTGAGTCAGTGTGCTGTACCAGGGGACCCAGTGTCAGCCATGATCACCAGATCCGCCTGTGACAGCCTGATGGAATCCACCTGCTTCTCCACCAGGAGATTCCTGAGCCTCAGAGGGAAAGTCGAGAGCAGCTTCCCACCAGCCAGTCACCCTCCCCGTCCCAGTAACCCTGCGCCAGGGAAAGAGGTGGTCCCGCCAAGTGTCAGCCTGTGAGTGCCCAAGTGCACTGTAAGAGGGACACCAGACCCACTTCTAGACCACAGCTCAGGGCTTGCTTCCCTGCAGAGGGAAAAGCCAGAAGGGATGGGGTGAGGATGGGGGTGCCCCTCTGCCCCTCCCCCAGCACCCTGGGGCTGCACCCAGAGAGATGCAAAGGTCGTTTAGCCCACCTCCTACACCACAGTCCTCCAGGCATTTAAACTCCTCTCTGGAGTCCTACCCCCTGGGGCTGATGGCCTCTGGCCAGTCCAGGGCGCCTTCTGTGGACTGACATGCCCACCGCACTGGGCGCCCACAGGAGGCCCAGCACCTCCCCAGTTCCTTTCCGATGCTCCTTGGGTGAGGCCTTTGGGAGCTGAAGGGGGTTGGGGGAGACAGAGGTGGGCTGCAAGTTGGATAGTCCTCAGGAGGGTGGGAAGACACGGGAGCTCCTGCCGCTCTTGCCTGGGAGACCCCGTGAGAAGGCAGGAGTCTGCAAGGCCTGGCCAGAACCCTGCACGCTGCCCCAGCTGTCTCTCCTCCAGCCTCTGGGGCTGTGCGAGGGGAGTGTCTGCAGCTCAGCCACCCTGTGGCCCCTTGTCTTGACAGCCCAAGCTGGCCAACGTGCCTCCTTGCTCTGGACTGTTAATGTGGTCTGAGGATGAAAGATGACACAGTGTTTCTGCTCAGCCTCATGCAAAGTGGCTCCACAGGAAAACCCACGTCCCCTAAAATGCATGTCCTGAGGCCCTCCTGCCTGCCCACCCGCCTGGGGACACCTTCTCCTCCGCCTGTCCTCAGCCCACTGACTTGTGCCCAGCGCCCCAGCCCTTCCTGCAGCCTAGTATTGCCCCCGGTTCCTGAAACCCCAGCTGAGCCGCAGGAGGATGGCGGGGTGGCCTGCTCTTATTTCCCTCCCGAGACCTGGGGGTTCTGCTTTCCATGCGGTGCCCATGCAGGGTGGTCTGTGACACCCTCACACACTGGACCACGGCAAATTGGGCTGCATGTGGGTCTCACATCAGCAGGAGTCCAGGGCAGGGTGAGCCTGCAGACCTTCCAATGGAGGGCAGAGGCCCAGAGCCCTCAGGATCTGCCCAGGCTCACACAGCTGGTTCAGGGTAGAGCTGGGATAGGGCCAGCCTGCCAACCCCAACCGGAACCCCCCACTCCCTACCCTGCCCCAGCACATAGAGCAAAAGCCTGGCGGATCGTTCCCAATACCCAGGACACCACTGAATCCCTGCCTGGAACAGGGCAGTGTCCCTGCCTAGCTCCCGCTGCAAGAGCCCAGTGAGCCCTCCAGAGGGCCGTCTCTTAAAGGGGTCTCTGGCTTTCCAGATCCCTGGGAAAGATGGGAAGGGAGTGGGGGCCTCCTGCCCACTTGAGGTTGTCTCTCTGAGGCCCCTGAGCTGTGCCTAACAGGGAAGCAGAGGAGCAGCCCGCAGCCCTCACGCTGGCCCTCCCACCCAGACAGCTCCCCTTGGGAAGGTCAGACCCTGAGGCCACAGGGACAATGAGGCCCTTCCCTGGAGGGGAAGCTCCTTCCCACACAAGCACACTCCGCGGGAGACCTCCCCTGCACAGAGGGGTCAACGTGCACCCCTTCCACCAGCTGAAGTGCAAGGTCAGAGGCTAGCAGGCACCTGCTGCTGTAGGAAGCCAGGACCTGAGAGTGAGAACGTGGCATCAGGCCCACCCCGATCACAGAGCCAAACTTTAACAGAATCCAAGGTTGTTGCCAACACCGGGTGCCTGTCACCAGCCAGGTACTGAGCTCAGCTCCTGTCTTACAGAAGCATGGGACCCGTCCCTGCCAAGGGGCACTAGGAGATGAGGCACAGACACAGGAAACTAGATGCTGTGTGGACAGCTGCAGCCAAGCAGAAGGACACAAGGAGAGACATGAGCTCCAAGCCAAGAGCAGCAAGCACTGCCGTGAGGGCCTCAGGGTCCCCAGAGGCCTGCACACCGCCGGTGGCAGGGCCTGTCCCAGGGTGACTCAGAGGCCTGGGCTCCGGCATTTCTAGCAAGTTTTCACGGGTGCAGATGCCACTGGTCCAAGGGCCGCCCTGAAGTGCTGAGGCTTGGGGTGCAAGAAGGCTGGAGGAACAGGAGCCCCAGGAGAGGACCACAGAGCCCCAGGTCTGCACCTCAGCTCCACCACCCAGGAGCTGAGCCACCCCGAGCACACTGCTTAGTCTCTCTGCACCTCTGGGTGTGACGAAGTATGCCGTAGCATACAGACCCCCATGACCACCAGCCCTCCTGACGCCCAGGGCTCTGAGCCCACCACCCTGCTGCCACACACAGCCATCTAGCAACCTGCTCAGCAGCACAGGCCCTGAGCCTGGCTCAGTCCTCCCTCACCACCTGTGTGGCTTCTGTACTGTGTTCCTACCTACAAACTGGGGCTGATAGCAGTTCCCCTCCTAGACTGTGGTGGGAAAATGAGAGCCACGGGAAGAGCACCTGGGTGTAGCATGTGGGACAGACTCGTCACCAGCAGCAATGACTCATCATTGGCAGGGACTTTCAGAATCAGGACATCCAGGACTTTCAGAATCAGGACATCTGTCCAGGGCTGGACAGATGTGCCCCTGCGCTTTAAGGAACTGTCATGGACACCAAAGCTCGAGGGCACCGACCTAGACCCCAGCAGCTTCTCTGAGTCTCTGGCTGGGACCCTACCCAGCCTGCTCCTTGAAGTCAG